TCTGGTTAGCAGGCAAGTGTCTTAGCCACTATGCTACCAGAGCTCCCTAAGAAGATTTTAGTATGCTAAAAATGGCCCAGAGTTAAATAAGGATTTTTATAGATATGATTTTGTTAGCTTTACTTTTATTTCCCTATCAATTGTAAATCCATGATTTTTTTCAATACTCTATGTTATGATGTATTTAAAATACTGATGTTAGAAATTAATAATAAATCTCATTACATACCTTTTACTTATCAATGCAACTTCACTTATTGGCTAGATAATTTGATATGATATAGCAGTATTAGTTGTCATCAATTTAAAAATATTTTCTATTTCAGCCACCACCCACAAGTACCATTTATAGCATTCTTTAGATAATAAAAATAATAATAAACAGTTTTAAACACATGAACCTGTCCTATCTTCCATTAATACTAGAATTATTTAGCACAGGTAAGAAAGGGTAGGAGGATAATTATTATGATAAGTGCTTATGAACCAATTATATCCGATTTCTTTTGCTGCCAATCTGTATATTCTTACATTACAATATAGTTGTACCTGGCAGTCTCTGATAGGGAGAAAGTTAAACTTCATTAACGTTGCATCACTAATTAATGCATAGTAAGTTGTATGGATCAACCCTTCCCTTCCTTTTTCCTAGTAGGAGCCTGGTGGCATACTTGTAAAGTGCTGCTACTAACATAAAGGTTAGTAGTTCAATCCCATCAGGTGCTCTGCCTGAGAAATATGTGACAGTTGGTCTCCAAAATGCCAAAAGCCTTGGAAACCATATGGAGTAGTTCTTCTCTGTTCTATAGGGTCACTATGAGTAGGAATCAAGTTGATGACAATGGGTTTGGATTTTTGGGGGTGGGGTTAGTGTACTCATTGATAACTGACTAGGAGAAAGTTTTGATGGAAATATTATTAATTTTCTTACATAAAAAATTATCATTATTAGTTGGTGTACCAACTCAAAATGACTCTGTAAAACAGAATGAAAGAATGTGTAGTCCTATGCCATCCTCACACCATCGCTGTATTTGATCTCATTGTTGCTGCCTCTGTATCAAACCATATCTTTGAGGGATTTCATCTTTTTTCACTTACCTTCCATTTCACCAAGCATGATATCCTTCTCCAGGAATTGGTTCCTCCTGATAACATGTCCAAAGTGTATGAGAAGTCACTCCATCCTTGCTTCTAAGGAACATCCTGATTGTATTTCTTCCAAGACAGATTTGTTCATTCTTCTGGAAGCCCATAGTATATTCAATATTCTTCTCCAGCACTGTAATTCAAATACATCAATTGTTCTTCAGTCTTCATTATTCATTGTCCAGCTTTTGCACATCTAGGAAGCTATTGAAAATACTATGGATTATGTCAGGAGCATCTTAGCCTTCAGAGTTACATCTTTGCCTTTTAACACTCTAAAGAGGTTTTTTTTTTTTTTAAAGCAGATATCATCAATACAATACATTATTTAATTTCTTTACTGCTGCTTCAATAAGCATTGATTGTGTGGATCCAAGTAACATGAAATCCTTGACAGCTTCAGCCTGTTCTCCCTTTATCGTGATGTTGCTTTTTAGTTCAGTTCAGGATTTTTGTTTCTTTATATTGAGATCGAATTCATACTGAAGACTGTAGTCTTTGATCTTCATCAGTAAGTGCTTCAAGTCCTCTTGACTTTCTGCATGCTTTGTTTGTCTCATCTGCATGGTGGAAGCTATTAATGAGTCTTCCTCCACTACTGATACCTCATTTTTCTTCATATAATCCAGCTTCAGAGAGTATTTTCTCAGCATAAACAAGCATAAACTTGATTAAGTTTGAAGAAAGAATAAAATGATGGTCTCTTAGTCTACGTACAGTTTCCTCATGACCACAGTTTAATGTTCTGGTATTGTCATTCTTCACAATGTTATACATTATTTGTTATAATATCATAGTCAAATGCTTTTTTACAGTCACTGAAACACAAGGAAACATCTTTTTGACATTGTCTCCTTCAGCCAAGATCCATCTCTGACACCAGCAACAATATCCCTCATCTATATCCTCTTCTGAATCAGGCTTGGACATCTGGCAGTTTTTGTTGATGTATTCCTACAACCATTTTTGAATTATCTTCAAGAAAACATTATTTGCATGTGATATTAATTATCTTGCTCATTAGTTTCTTCATTGGGTTACATCACATTTCTTCGGAATGAGTGCCAATATGGTCCTCTTCCAGTTGGTTGACCAGGTAAGTGTCTTCCAACATTCTTGCCATAGATGAGTGAGTGTTTCTAGTGTTGCATGTTTATTGGAACATACTAAGTGGCATTAGGTAAATACTTGGAAACTTGTTTTTCTTCAATGTTTTCATTGCAGTTTTGGACTTCTTCCTGAAAAAAAAAAATCAGTTCTTGATCATATGTTATTGCCTGAAATGTTTGAACATTGACCTTTTTTTTTTTGGTATAGTGACTTTGTATTTTCCTTCCATCTTCTTTTGATGTTTCCTGAATTGTTCAATATATTATCCATAGAATGAATAAAACAACTTGAATTTTCTTTTCCATTCTTTCAGCTTGAGAAATGTTGAGTGTATTCTTACCTTATGGTTTTGTTACTCTAGATCTTTGTATATTTCATTAAAACAGTTCACTTTTTCTTCTCAAGCCACCTTTTGAAATATTCTTTTATTTTATTCCATCATTTCTTCCACTTGCTTTAGCTACTCTACAGTCAAGTTTCAGTGTTTTTTCTGACATGCATTTTGGTCTTTTCTTTCTTTCTTGTCTTTTAAATGGCCTTTTGTTTTCTTTATGTGTGATGTACTTGTTGTCATCCCACATTTCATCTTGCCTTCAGTCATTACTGTTCAATACTTCTTGAGATGGTTTTTAAATTCAGGTGGGATATATTCAAGGTCATATTTTGCCTCTTGTGGACTTCCTTTAATTTTCTTCAGCTTCACTTTGAATTTGCATATGAGTACTTGTTGGTCTGTTCTACAGTTGGCCCCTGATTCTGATGGATGATCATTAGCTTCTCCATCTTCTCTTCCTATATATTCCATCTGGCATGGTCCACATGTATAGTCAATGTTTATGTTGTAGAAAAATGTATTTGTGATGAATAAGCCATTGGTATTGAAAAATTCTATCATACCATCTCCAGCAACATTTTTGTCACCAAGGCCATATCTTCGAACTACTGATGCTTCTTTGTTTCCAACTTTTGCATTCCAATCACCAGTAATTATTAATACATCTTGATTGTATGTTTGGTCAATTTCATACTGTATAAGTTGATAATACTCTTGAGTTTCTTCAACTATGGTTTTAGTAGTTGTTGTGTAAATTTGAATAATAATCATATTAACTAGTTTTCCATAAGTGTATGGATATTATCCTATCACTGACAGCATTTTACTTCAGAAGAGATCTTAAAAAAATGTTCTTTTTGATGATGAATATGATGCCATTCCTCTTCAATATGATTGTCCTCTTCAAAATGGCCAATACCAATCCACCTACTAGCCACTCCTCAGAAGGAAGGTTGGCCAATCTACTTCTGTAGTGATACCACCTCAGAAACCCAAAGAAGGGTCACTGGCTCGACGGCACATATCATAACAATGTCTAGAATGTCCATTTCACTTTTGATGAATTCTGATTTTCCTTTTCATGTTCATACATGGTATGTTCTAATTACTAATGGATGTTTGCAGCTATTTCTTTTCATTTTAAGTTGTGCCACTTCCACATCAACAAATAAGGTCCCAAAAGCTTTATTCCATCCATATAATTAAGGTGGACTCCATTTTGAGGCAGCAGCTCATCCTTAGTAGTATTCCCAATGTGAGGAGCTCATCTTCCACCATTATGTCAGACAACGTTCCACTGCTGTTCATAAGGTTTCACTGGCCAGTTTTTTCCAGAAGTAGATGCAAGGTCCTCTTCCTAGCCTGTCTTCACCTGTAATCTCTACTGAAACCTATCTACCATGGTTGACACTGCTGGTATGTGAAATTCAGTACCATAACTTCTAGCATACATTATATATAATATGCGCACACACATATACATATTTGAACATTGAAATTAATAAGTGATATTAATTTCATTGTATAGGTTACTAATATTTGTTCTATGAAAAGATTCTAGAATGTTGTTTCTCTTTGGTAAATCTGAGAAAGTTTGTTTCAGTGATTTAAATTTATCCTAAAAATCTAAAGGCACAAGATATGTCATTTTGTGAACTTGATATTTGAAAATGTGTGCCACAAATATTGTATTAGTCATTATTACTTTTACTAAAAAATATTTCTTTCACATATTAGGTTAACTTGAAAAGCCTGATCACTTAAGTAATCTCTATGTCCTTGGCAATGCCATATTCTTAGTGAACTTGCATATATATCCTCTATCCTGAATAGCTAAGGGAACTCCAGACCTGGCTCATTTTTTGAAGATCCAGTGGCTCACTTTTGACAATGCTCATTGAATTCAGGCCCTAAAGGTATCCCCTCTAAGTCTTGCATATACCAGAGTTCTAATTTATTATTTAACATGATATAATATTACAGTAGGTAAAATACTTAAAATCTATATAATAATGTCTCCTCCCTAAAAGATAGTGTGTACATATCTGTGTTTGTAGAGAATAATCTCTGCTTTCTGACAAAAGTCCTAACCCACACAACCACTATCTTTATATCTACTACATGACTCCAAAACTGGCCATTTTGAACTAAGTAGAAGAGGACAAAGACCAGGGGAAAATTCAAATTTTTCTCTTCTGAAAACTTAAGGTTGGGATTGTTGTTGTTATCAGGTGCCGCCGAATGGGCTCAGGCTCATAGCGACCCTGTGTACAACAGAATGAGACACTGCCTGGTCCTGTGCCAGCCTCACGATCCTTGATATACCTGAGCCCATCAATGCAGCCACTATCAATCCATCTCATTGAGGGCTTTCCCCTTTCTCATTGACCCTCCTCTTTACCAAGCTTGATACCCTTCTCCAGGGAATGGTCCCTTTTGACAACATGACCTAAGTAGGTGAGGTGAAGTCTGGCCATTCTCCCTTCCAGGGGGCATTCCGGTTGCACTTCTTCTAAGATAGATTTGTTAATTCTTCTGGCAGTCCATGGTACTTTCAATATTCTTTGCCAACACCACAACTCAAAAGCATCAATTCTTCTTCAGTCTTCCTTATTCATTGTCCAGCTTTCATATGCATATGAGGCAATTGAAAGCAGAAAATTTTAGGTTAGGTGTACCTTAGTCTTCAAAGAGACATCTTTGCTCTTCAGCACTTTAAAGATGTCTTTTGCAGCAGATTTGCCCAACGCAATACATTGTCTGATTTCTTGACTGCTATTCACATTGCTGTTGATTGTGGAACCAAGTGAATTGAAATCTTTGACAATTTCAATCTTTTCTCCATTTATTGTTGCTTATTGGCCCAGTTGTGAAGATATCTGTTTTCTTTATGTTTAGATGTAATCCATACTGCAGACTGTAGTCTTTAGTCTTCATCAGTAAGTGCTTCAAGTCATCTTCACTTTCAGCAAGCCAGGTTGTGTTGTCTGCATTTTGCAGTTTATTAATGAGTTTCAATACAATCCTGTTGCTGTGTTCTTCTTCATATACTCTAGCTTCTTGGATTATTTGCTCAGGATACAGGTTGAACAAATATGGTGAAAGGATACAATCCTGACACACTCCCTTCCTGATTTTAAACCATGTAGTATCTCCTTGTTCTGTTCGAATGACAGCCTCCTGCCTATATACAGACTCCTCCTGAACACAATTAAGTCTTCTGGAATTCCCATTCTTCTCAATGTTATCCATAATTTGTTATGATTCACACAGTCAAGTGTTTTTGCATGGTCAATAAAACACAAGTAAACATCTTTCTAGTATTCTTTGCTTTTAGCCAAGGTTCATCTGACATTAGCAATGATTGAGATTAAGAAAAAATCTACTTAATGTCTGATTAGGCCTGAAACTGAAAGCTTGAAAAGTTAGATCTTGTGCAGTGTCTCAATGCATGGAGAATCTGAGGAAGCTAATTTTCAAAAAGAAAGAATAAAATAAATGTTCAAAAGCAAGACGAATAAATGACCATACAGAGATTGAAGGAGAGTGATTAAGGATATAGAAATTTTGATTTCTAATGGCTTTCAAAGTCCTGAGAACAATCTTTCAAATAACATACGATTTTATCCTTGGGTTCTGAGAGATAGTTCAGCTTGGTGCTAATAAACATATTTTTCCAATAACTAGCATAAGTGTTTATTATTGCTTGAAATAATAACAATAAAAAATTCACAATATATTAAGCTCCTAGGGGAGCAAAGTATAAAACCAATCTTTTTGGTTTCTTATAGGAAACAGCTACTCAAGAAACAGGTAAAATCAAAGTCCATGTTAGCACCACTTCTTTAATTTAGGTACACTTCTTGAATGGAATAAGAAAAACATGAAGAGGCCACACATCTGATCTATCCATTTTCCCCAGAGCTGTCATTTGCAAAGGCCACTGAATGAATGAAGAAAAGCAGGAAGAGTTACTGGTAGAATGAGTTCTGGCTCTGCCATTTGCCAGCTGTGCACCTTGGGTAAAACAGTTAAAGTCTCAATATTCAATACTCAATAAAGTAAAAATACTCAGTAAAGTAAAAAAGATAAGCCAAGTATTTGTTGTAGGAAGATTGAACAGAAGAATGAACATAAACACACTAGGGTACTGGGAAATAGTAAATGCTTAATATATAATTAGATTTTATTATTACTGCTTGCTAAAATGTGTCTTCTGCTGGATTGTTTCGGGATGACACATGAAGTTTGACTTTGACACTTGGATACTTAGATTTTTCAATGGGGATCTGCTTTTGCTTCATGTAAACGTAGGAAAGGTGATACCACAGAATGTGGCAATTATTGAACAATATCATTAATAACGCATGCAAGTAAAAACTTACTGAAGATAATTCAAAAGTGGTTGCAGCAGTATATTGACAGAGAACTTCCAGAAATGCAAGCTGAATTCAAAAGAGGACGTGGAACGAGGGATATCAATGCTGATGTCAGATGGATCTTGGCTCAAAGCAAAGGATACCAGAAAGATGTTTACTTGTGTTTTATAGACTTTGCAAAAGCATTTGATTGTGTGGATCCTAACAAATTGTGGGTAACATGGAGAAGAATGGGAATTCCAGAACACTTAATTGTACTCATAAGGAATCTGT